ATATATATATATATTAATCAAAGTTGCAATCTTTTGATTAATTAAAAATAACATTTTTATTTTTTCTAATAACAAAACAAAATTTTGATGAACAATAATTTATTGTTCAGGATTTGACTTTGGGGAATATAATGGTGAGGCCTGAACTAGATTTTCAGGAAGATTTGAGGAATAGAGCTGCATTCTCCAAGGAGAGATATGGATCAGTCGATAAGGTCATAATTGTATGTGGAGAAGATGCTATATTGACCGTAGATTTTCAGCACTGGATGATAAAGAACAACACAGTGAAGGAGGTGATGGAGATCAAAGAAGCTGATCACATGGCTATGCTTTCAAAGCCTAAAGAGTTGTGCCAATGCCTTACAAAGATTATTAAAAATTATGCTAAGTGATTACGTATTAATGTCTCTCTGAGTTTTTAGCTGTTTTTTGAAGAAATCATTTGAGAGTTTGTCATGTTGTATCATTACTCTTTCATCATTTTATCAAATTGTCAAAGTCAAAGTCAAAAGCAACCATAGCTGACTACTATTTAAGAACTATAGATGACCATTGTATTTTCCAATGATTTTTTTTCTTTGCTTGAGATTAGGAGGCTAACTCAAAATGAATTAAGTAGTGATTACTCATGCAATATCTCACAATTGGGTTGGGTTGACTCTATTCATAAATAGTGATTTTGTGCCTAATAACGTTGGAATATTATAAATCCACAAAATAATGATTGTTTCTATCTTCTTCCTTTCGAATTGACCTATTTCAAAGCACAAACTGTCTTAATTGAATAACATTCAATAACTTATAATTTATACTTATTATTAACTGACTAAAATAAAATACAAGCATGCTTCATACATTGAAAGCATCTTATAAAGGCGTTCTTGAGTGTAATTAACTTTCGACAACCTATTTCAATATCATTGGAATATTAATGGTTCCCAAATTTCTTACTTAAATTAACTTGTTCTTGAGTGTAAGTAATTTTAGAGAGCCGATTTCAATAATGTTGGAATACTAATGATTTCTAAGTTTCTTATTTACATTAACTTAACATGATTTTATTATATGATAAGATATGCATATCTGAGGTCTTCAAAAAATTTATTCAATCTTCTAACTTTTAATACTTCAAAAAATATCATAACTTTCAAGATTATGGCATTTATAGAGAGCACGCTTATTCATATCAAAAATTTGTTGATCGTTGAAGTAATCTAATTGATTAAAAATTATTGATGACACCATATTAGTTGTACAAGTTAATAATCTATTTTATCTATTTTATCTTATTCTAAGATACCTTTGACACAGATCTTCTCCCACCCAAATAAAAAATTCTAATTATACTATTAGTTTGTAGTAGAACAAACCAAATTTCGATAGTATATCTCACATGCATAAAACTAAATTGAACATCCAATACAAAACTATATGAACTAACTAGCCTTTTATTCGTTACTTTCTTCAATAACAATACATGAGTCATTACATTAATTCCCAAGAAAATACGATCATCCAAATATTTCTTTTTAAATTTTGCTGTCAAAATATTCTCTGATCTATTGGCATCATTTAAATCTTTATGAGGTAAACAAAGCATTTGCACATCATGTACTCTAGTATCTCACAAAATTCTCAACAAGTATCTCATATGGAATTAGACATTAATTTTATCCATCTTCTTTAAAGCTAACTTAAATCCAAATATTATGAAAAAAACCATCATATACTTCACAATTCCTATCATTTTGATCTTCTTCAGAATTTTCTTCCTTAACTCTCAACAACAACAATGACAAGCCTTTATCCCACTATAACATCTTGAATTCTACTAATAGCATCCTCATCTATATCACCATCACTTTTAACAATAGACCCGATCCATGCATGCATTCCTCCGCTTCAACCAACCAACTCTAATTCTACTGATAACAATATCCCAATATCACCATCATTTTAACAATAAATATGATGGATTCTTCCACTTCAACCAATCAACGTGAATTCTACTAATAATATCCCCTTCATTCCCCTGTAAACGTTGCTTTCACACTTTGCTTTCTCAAGAAAAAGCCCTTTCTAACGATATATAGAATATTTTGACCACCTCCGAAGCATCTTATAAACTTAATTATTAGGTTAAATTATTTTGACTTTGGACATAATAACAAAGAAAATGATGTTTTATTATATTTGCATCAAAACAAATTAACTAATCATCATATACAAATAAAAAAATTATATATATATATATAGAAAGAAGGATGAGTGAACCGATTAACATGAAGATAATTCTTGTTCATGGTGGCGGCCATGGTGCCTGGTGTTGGTATAAGGTGGTGGCCATGGTGAGGTCTCAGGGGTCAGTCACAGCCGTCGATCTTGCAGCCAGCGGCTCCGATCCACGAAGAATACCTGAAGATGTATCCAGCTTTGATGAGTATAGCCAACCCCTGATGGATTTGATGGCTTCAGTGGCTGAAGGAGAAAAGGTAGTATTAGTTGGGCACAGCTTTGGTGGAATAAGCTTAGCTACAGCAATGGAAGCCTTCCCTGAGAAGATTGCAGTTGCTGTTTTTGTCTCAGCTTTGTTGCCAGATATTGTTCATCCACCTTTTTATATACTTGAACAGGTATAAATCAAAATCACGAGAAAATATTACGTGTGGTGACCATACATTTAGATGACGACTGCATGTGTACCAACTAAATTAAATAAGACAGCACTCTTTAATCCACCAGAGCTATGCCCAACCAATACTACCTTTTCTCCTTCACCCTCTGAAGCCATCAAATCCATCAGAGGTTGGCTATACTCATCAAAGCTTGCAGTTGCTGTAATTGTAAAAAGCAACTGCAATCATTTTGGAAAATTAACTGCTACCACTGAATTCTTATGTATTTACATATGTACCAACTAGACTTTGCTTTTTACAATTACATCAGCTAAAATTTTCTTAGACAATAAAAAGTGAAATGGGCCGTTTTCTCAAAGCATAGATAAGGTGGTATGTATGTAATATTGAAGTTTCAGATGTTAGATATCTAAATATGTAGGAATTGGCCAGTGTTATGCATGTAAATCTTCCAATAATTTGATGTACAGAGCAAAAGAGCAAATATTATAACTGCTGGAGATAATATAGTAGCTGTTTTGATCTTAAAACAATGTTGGAGAATATGTTCGAAATGATTTTTAGTTTTTCATGTGGATTAACATAATTTAATTGTTTATTTAAGCAGCATTTTGAGCAATTACCAGATAAATACACTGACATGCAAACGAAGAGCATTGCAATTCCTGGAAGATCTGAGCCGTTCATTATTTCGATTTTACAGCCTAAACTCCTGGCTAGCAGCCTTTACCAAAATTGCTCCTTTGAGGTAGTTTATTTGTGATAAAGTGAAATTTACTGAGGGGATATTTGGGATCATTTTTACATTTTATTTTCTATTTTATTTTATTTTATTTTATTTTATTTATGTTTTTTTAATAAAAATATGCTTGACATATTAGATTAGGATATGATTATTTCTAAAAAAAAGACTTAAAACACCTTAAATATTAATTTTAGTAGTACTTTTCAATATTAGCTTATGGATTAACCTTTAATATTGATTGTTTAAGATAGTTTTTATTTTTATTTTTTTACTTTTCCTAAAATTTAAGCTAAAATAATGCTGAAAAAGTCAATTTTCTCATTGAAAAAATGCATAATTTTTTGAAAGAAATAATAAAGAACTGGGAAACATTTTGTAGAAATGTATTATTGAAACATTTCTATGGGAACAGCTCAGAACAAATAAAATTCATTTCCTCCCAAAATGACAGCATTGAAAAACTCGTGTTACTCCCCAGTTCTGAAACATAGTAACAAGTTCTGTTGATGTTCATAATACACATTCAGAAGCATCCAAATAAATAAATAAATAATTGTTGTTAAGGATTTGACATTGGCGAATATGATGGTGAGGCCTGCATCAATTTTTAAAGAAGATTTATGATTGTTGAAAGACAAGAGCTGCACAAGCTGTGAGTAATGTAGGTCGTAGTTGGTCGCATAGCTCGTAGTGATGAGTTGTTCGTAAATCGTAGGGATTGGAGTCATGACCTGTATGAACTGTGAGTCATGCTTTAATGGGTCACACAGACCGCAGTGGTGAGCAGTGATGTCGTTTGTAGGTCGTAGGGGTTGGAGTCAAGAGTTACACTAACTATGAGCCACGTAGGTTGTAGTTGGTCGCATAAGGCATAATAGTGAGCTGTGATGACATTCATGAGTCGCAGAGACCAGAATTGGGAGCTGCAAGGACGAAGATTTAGGAGTCTGGAGAAAGTCACTGTCTTCGGGGTGCATTTTTACACCGCCTTCTAGAGTTATAATTGCACCGTATATGGTAGGGCTGTAAAAAAAACTCGTTGTTCGCAAACAGTTCATGTTCGACTCGTCGCAGAGTTTGTGTTCGATTCGTTTGATAAGCAAATGAGACGAACACAAACAATTTTTTTTTCGTTCGGTTTATAAACGAACCAAACACGAACAGTCATTTTTTTATCGTGTTTGAATTGTTATTGTTCGAAATATAAAATAATTTAAAATACATATATATAAAAAGATTATCATATTTTAAAAATAATTATATACTCTTAAAGTTTATCATATTTTAAAAAATTAAATCATATAAATTATAATATGATCTTCAGGTTCGCCTCTTAGCTTATATTAAATTTTATAATTTTGTATTTATCTTCAGGTTCGTCTCTTTATATTTCTTTTAGATTTATTTAGTTTCTTTGAATGAAACCTTATTTTTGGGAGTGAAATCTCGCATATTACCTCTAGATCTAATTTTTTTATGGATGAGATATGATATTATGGTTTTATTGTAAGTTGTGTTTCGACCATTTTGCGTTTGTGTTATGATTTATAAGAGTTTAAGCATTATTTTCATATAGTTTTAAGCTTTTGAAAGATTTTGAACAATTCGAACAATTCAAACAATACAAACAAATTTGTAAGATTTCGAACAATTCAAATAATTCAAACAATTCAAACAATTCGAACATTTTAAGCATTTCAAACATTTCAAATAGAACACGAAGAGTAACTTCACGAACAATTTCAAACACGAGCTTATTTCAAACACACATAATTTTAAATAAAACGAACACAAACACGAGCTTTGTTCATTCGTGTTCGGTTCATTTACACATCTGGTATATGAGGTGTGTTTCTACACCATCATCAGGGTGTGTCTTCGCGTCGTATTTTGAGTGTGATGCGTCTTTGGGAGGCATCTTCGCACTGTATGTTAGGTGCGTTGTTGCACCGTCATTGGGATGTGTCATTGCACCGTATTCAGGTTGCATTAGACACGATGTATTGGACGACAAATTAGTCCATCGAGTGCTTCATTGTCTATCAACGTATGTTGAGATACTGCAATGCATGTTATGATTCTGCAAGGGACTTTGCTGTAAGGAGTAATTGACGACCAATGGTGGTCCAAGTTTGCCAACAAGTAGTGGTTGATGGGGGTCAAAGGCTGTAGGAGCGAGAGGAATATTCTTGATCTTCGATGTAGAAATGATGATGAACTTTAGCTCATTCTCCAAGCTTTGGCATTCTTCTGGCTCCAGGTCTCACCCCTCTCTTAAAAAGAGAGTATGATTTTATTTATAGAGTTCATATTGCAAATAAAAAAGAAATCCAGACCATTTCATCAGATGACCCAGCGAGGTTCGCTCAATCGGATGACATTTGGTGGACCTTTAAATGTTTTAATGATGTCATAATTGAGTGATCTTAGACATTTTGTGTTCGTCTCGCTTAGACGCTCAATTTAACTATAAGTTTGTTAGATTTAAAATCTGTTTAACATTCCAATTATGTATTGAAAAGTTCCAAAAATGATTTAACAGCTTGATTGAGACTTGGTTTGACTCAGATTGGACTAATTTTGGTATCAATTGGTCTGTGTTGTCGATTCGACTAGTTAGACTGTAAGTTTACTGAAATTAGACTTTCGGGTGATTTTTAAATGATGTTTGAATCTTTATTACTTAAAACCTTATCTTTAGATTCCTACCGGAGTATGGAAATCTATCTATATATATATATATATATATATATATATGTTATATGTCCATGAAGCTAGCCGGAAAGAACGGAGAGCGAAAGGGCTGTCCGGCATTTGGCCCTTCACAATCATCAACATTATCATTTGTAGCTAAATTATTTGAATTCGAACCGAGTTATCTATAAAGATAATGAAGTTTTTGCTTAAAATTTATTAAATAATCATCCTATACAAATTAAAGACTCCAATAAAATTATATATAAACGACATCAATGAACAGAGTAGATCAAATCAAGAGAGAAAAAAAGGCTGAGTAACCAGATTGAAATGAAGATAATTCTAGTTCATGGCGGCGGCCATGGTGCCTGGTGCTGGTATAAGGTGGTGGCCATGTTGAGGTCACAGGGATACTCAGTCACAGCCGTCGATCTTGCAGCCTGCGGCTCTGATCCACGAAGAATTCCTGAAGACGTATCCAACTTTGATGAGTATAGCCAGCCTCTGATGGATTTGATGGCTTCGGTGGGCGAAGGAGAAAAGGTAGTATTAGTTGGGCATAGCTTTGGTGGATTAAACTTAGCTGCTGCAATGGATGCCTTCCCTGAGAAGATCGCTGTTGCTGTTTTTGTCGCTGCTGTATTGCCAGATACTGTTCATTCACCTTGGTATATATTTGAAAAGGTATATTATTTTGATTTTTTTCTGAAAATATTGTTTAAGAATACGTTTAAATTAGTATATTGTATTTGCTTATTCCAGCAAAACTTTGAGGAATTACTAGATAAATACACTGACGGCGTTGAAGTAAAGAGCGTTGTAATTCCAGGAAGATCTGAGCCGTTTATTATCTTCACTCTGCTTCCTACACTCCTTGCCAGCGCTTTTTACCAGAACTGCTCCATTGAGGTAATTTTCTTTGTGAACATTTGTGTTGATGATTAAAATGATGGTTTTGAAAATCTGCATGTTACATGTCATTTATCATAATCTATTATATAATTAATGACCATGTAAAATAACATTTTCATTCCAAAGAAGGTAAATAAATAATTGTTGTTAAAGGATTTGACATTGGGGAATATGATGGTGAGGCCTGTATCAATATTTAAAGAAGATTTGAAGAATAGAGCGGCATTCACCAAGGAGAGATATGGATCTGTTGATAAAGTTTTTATCGTATGTGGAGAAGATGCTATGGTGACATTAGATTTTCAGCGTTGGATGATACAGAACAGTCCCGTGAAAGAGGTGATGGAAATCAAGGAAGCAGATCATATGGCAATGCTTTCAAAGCCCGAAGAGCTATGCCAATGCCTCACAACAATTGTTAGCAAGTATGTTTGGTGATTATAACTATAGTGTTTCCGACCGACCGATTAAAATATTATCCCTTTTCAGCATTTTGTGTCGTTATTATTTTAAATTGCTTCTTTACTTGCATAAAATTGTTGGTTTCAGACAGTTTCTTCCTCTTTATGTGGTTTTTCTATTCTGACAATTTAAGTTCCATGAGAAAACTGATGGGATACTGTCAAGCTTAATTTGTTTCTGGTGATATGAATTTGTAGAGAATTATGTAGTGTTTTTGTTGGAGGATGAATTGCATTTTAAATCTAAGAGAAATTACGCAGGAGATCATATAATTTGTGGAAAATAAGAGAGATTGTGTGGCTTAAATCTACCGGTTTAAATTTTTTAGTTGGATTTGAATTAAATTTTCTAGCTTGTTTAATAGACGGGCCAAGTTCATACCAGGCATATTTCAATTGGGACAGATTTGAGTTAAGAAAAAGAATCAGGCTTTTTAAATGAACTTGACACTCTTACTCATGAAGCATTAATTTTTGTTGTGAGTTGTGTGAAGGAAGATACCTCCACTCCATCACTGTGGTTCCCCACTGGCACAAGATCCTCGAAGCAACAGACAAATTAGGGCAATGCCTCCACTACGGCAATATTCCCTCAACAGTAAAAAATATTAGGGCGCATGTGCTACACTTGATCTTATACAACCGTATGGTATTTAGGAAATGCCCACAGTACCCCTGATGTTATCTGTAAATAAGACCAAAGACTCTATTAGACTTTTTCAAGCATCTTTCCTCTTCTCTTTTCTCTTTATGGTATGAGAGCATCTTGCTCAACAAAAATGATCTGTGGATTCTTCCGCATTTGCAACCTCCAAACTAAATCAATAATATACTTAATCACTCATCAGAATCAGAGAAATCAATATCCAAGCACCTCTCAAGTTCTTAATGCATCATATCAAAATGATTTCAACATCTCTTCCGTTCGACGATTATCATGTTAGGAAAGCTCGTATTCTAACGCTTGTCATGCTAATGGCTTTGAAGGTTTCTTAGAAGAAAATACCACCAGTCCACCACAATTCACGGAGAATGAATTTAGAACATAGAAAGAAAATCAAGATTTTCAGCTCTGGAAACTAGTGGATCAAAATCTAACTAAAATAATGCTATGTACAATTTTGATACAAAATACGTAATGTACAAGTAGTATATGGAACCGAGTCTATGTATCGTTCCCACGAGGAACGTATGAACTTCCAAAGCTTAGAAGAGTTTTAATCTATCAATTTTGAGTCTCACTTGAAGGTTCAAAATTGATTGATTTAAAAGTTTATAATCCTAATTTTTACAAAAAATAAACCCTACAACTAGTTTTTAGGTTGAACAAGTCGTAGAAAATCTCTCGTGAATTGGTCCAATGCAAATTTGATATCTCAAAGTGATTCAAATAAAATTAACAATCAAGAGCAATAATTTTTCTTAGCCCTTCCGGACAGTCATAAGAAAATTGGGATTTCATATTGCAGTTAGTCCCCTAACCATACACAAATTGTAGTGTGCAAATTCCTCAATACTATTGCGTTATCATAATAACAATATTTCTATTCTCTTAGAGTAGTGTAGGTTAAAAAAAACTTTCCATTATCTCACTTATGTAATACTATACCATAACCAATTTTAACCTTTTAAGTGATCATTTTAAAAGTAAATTAAGTTCAAAATGTTAAATTATCAATTCTAATATCCAATTTTTACAATCCCTTAACAAGGACAAAATCTATTTGAGGGGAGAAATAAATCTAAGTCATGTACATAACCAATGAAAAAAACATAAATTACATTAACAATTTATAAAATGAATTTGACAGTCCTACTAATGAAGCATTAGTGTCTCTTGTGAGTTGTGAACAAACTCCAATCAAAATGCCAGTCATACACCATTTCTCATTAGTTTTTAGCACATGACATTAATTTTTCTTAGAATATAAAATCCTAATCTTAAACTTTTAGGAGTGTTGATAAGAAAATAAAAGTGAAAAAATTGTAATTCCAGATTGTTTAGGGTTTAGGGTTTATCACACTTTGATGTCATGAATCAATCCTTGAAAAAGTGTAATCAGCTTTTAAAAAATAGGTAAAATATGAGTCCTTTGTATTTAAATATAAATATGTAGGTGTGGATATGTAAATACATAAAAAATGTGTGGTAGGTATATAAATACCTTAAAAAAAGGGAGCATTTACATTCATACCACACAACTTTCATGCATTTACACATCTAACTACTAAATTTTTGAGTTTATATACATAACACTCAAATATATAACTTCGTATAAAAATATAACTATTACTTATTTTTTAAAAGCAAAGTATGTCTCTTGTTGGACACTTAAAAAGATTTGCATGAATCTCGAAATAATCAAAAGACCTTGGGCCCTCGGGCGGAGAATCAAGAGAACTTACTTTTCCAACTGAACTAAAACCTACCGAGTTGAAAACTATCAAGGCACAAAGGAATAAAAATGACTGTCAAGAATCAACAAAGACCAAAATAAGACAAGTATGCGGCTATCATTGGGAAAGCTATCGATCGAGGGTCCTCTCCCTCTATGGCCTGAACCTGACGAATATAGCCAAAAGTTCTCCAAAAACTCCTCAAGATATCACCTAGAGCCAATCAACTAGACAAGCATGGCCAACTAAAAGCATTGGTCGACCACCTTCTCCCAAAGGTCACCCGGCTACTCCAGCCAACCGTTGACTGCCCATTCCAACCAAGGCTTCCACCAGAACAAACTAGAAAATGGGGGGTCTATTCACTGATCAAAAACCTGAAAAAGAGAATAGTAGTTCCCAGTGAAGAGACCCCAATGAAGGATATCTTGCTCTCCAACCTTGACCTCCTCACTTCGCGGGTCCACTCCCCCATCGTCTACTTCTACCACCCCCAACTCAATGATGCCGAATTATTCTCGTTGAAAACCCAATGGTCCATCCTAGCTCGCGCCCTTTTCCCATTCTAACCTCACACCTACAGTCTCATTACCGGTGTCGATGGTCGTTCTTGCATTGGATGTACAATCAAGGGTGCCCTCTTTGTAGTCACTTGGTCTGAATCAACCATGGATAATATTGGGGATTTTGCGCCCTCAATGAGCTCCGACGGCTTCTTCTTCCTTTTGCTAGTGGAACTGACAAGATTGATATGTCGCTTGTCATGTTTCAGCACGAATCTCAAGGCACTCTGAAATAATCAAATAAAGGACCCCTTGGCAAAAGGTAACGAGGTTTCATCAATTCGATCGGCCAGCATCCACCAAAAGTTAGCAATATCTCGCACAGTTGAGTGACCATCAGACAAGTCGATTGCTGGCTAAGCTCAAAACCAATGAAAGTGGCTAAGTCCAGGGACATCCCAACAAAGTTCTCCTTGTTGAAACTTCCTCAAAGATTACCAAAGAGCAATAATTAGAAAAGCAAGCCGGCTCTCCAAAGGCCACCCAATTACCTCACTTAAAGGACCAACTGATGTCTTATTTGACAGCCGACCAGAAACAGTTTGGCTGACCGGCTGTTCGAGTCAAGAACCAACCGAAATTAGCTCACCCAACCGACTTAGGGGACCTACCGAGCGGCAGGTTCAGACAAGTGAAATACTATATTGCTCCATACTATCCCATTTTAGCAAGGATAACTTTATAATTTTACCTTCTATCCTTCTATTATCTATAAATAAGAGAACAATTTCATGTTTTAGGATTTTTGGATCTCCTTCCATGTACCTATCCATTCAATGGAACAAAATCAGCCACGGGGCCTATAAACACCCCTCTTCGCCCATACGGGGTTCACTCTCCCTCTCTTTTTTTCTCTGGCCCAACACTTTATTCTTTAGGTACGATCTACATTACAAATTCGGCTTCTACACTCAACATACATTTTTAAAATCAAAGTGCTATACATATAAATATGCAAATTTAAATGTCAGATAAACAGATTCATCCAAGATATTTCTTGTGGTCTGTTTGTAATTTTTTCAAAAATCAAATCCATTATTAAAACAGTTACAAAAAAATAATAAATTGCAGGAAGTGTTCTGGCTTGTTTTTTTTTATTGAAAAGAAGAAGAAGAAGAGCTTCGTCGATAGATAATTGGCCAACGTGGTTTGAAGAGAAATGAGAAAAATAATGAGGTTAACGATAAAAGACAAATGTACGAGCTCATCGATGACAATCATGTCGCACTCGTTTGACTGCATTTAACCAAGTCAAATAAGTCGTCCTTGTTTTTTTTTTTTGGAAGTTTGCCTTGCACATCATATAGTTTAAAAAATTATCATAAAAATATGCTGTTTAATTTCACATAACACCTTTCATTGATCTGTAATTTCTTAATTTAACATGCTACACAGCTACAGTCAATAATATTGTTTTTATCGAACTTCTTTATGTATTAAATAGCTATGATGTTGTTGTTAGATTTTAATTCGTCTTTTGTGACTTTTACCGAGAGTTAGAGCGGAGTGAATTATAGAAGAAACTGAAAGTAAAATAAATCTGGAATGTTTGCAGCAAAAAATAGCAGGAGATATCCCTTTATTCGTATTTTTGTCATGTATTTATATAGACTTGTTTTGTACAATTACAAAAAGAAATGAATGATTATGAAAACTATTCTTAATGTCTTTAAGGATGTAATTGATTATATATAATTTATGCCATATTTGCATTATGATTTGGATTTCAATATTGGCGGTAATTGGTTGGTTGTCTGAATTAAAGTCAGCCGACTGAGACTACCAGTCAAATTACATCTATGCCCTCCGAAGTATGTGTGAGTCAATAGAGGTGTTCGACCGCATGACGATCTTGCTCGGTGTCTTTTGGCAAGATAGACCAGAGCGGACTGTTGTTAGGTGTTTTTTTGGTTTGAATATGGGGTTAGTCGGTCGAACGTGATCGGTCGGCCTCTTCCGTTAAGTGAATCCTGACTCATTTTCCACTTGACTAGAGTTTTACAAGGCTCATGTTTCGCCCGTCTGGTTGGTTCGTTGCTTCGGTCGGATCTCCCGGTCTTGTAATTTTTCGGGCAGAT